ATTTTGCAACCTTTTTTCCTGATCTTCAAAGCTTGCTCCCCTCCATTTTTCAGACTTTTGTTAGGTCCTGTGTGGCTGCATATTTCTGCATATTTTTAAGTGGTCAGTATGGCTTACTTGGCTGTAAGTGAAACTAAGATAGACATTTTATTTTATTTTTTGTCTTTTTATTTTCAGCAACAGTCAGATACAAATAGTGCAATGCACACTCTGGCCACACAGAGGCAGTTTTACAGAAATCCATACAGGTCACTGGTATGTAATAAATTGTGCTGAAGGAGATGACCAGCTTCTGTGGTTTTGTGTGTGTGTGTAACCAGGAGTGATGACTCAGTGTCGCCCTCTGCGTTCGACTGAAAACCAGTGAATGAAACCAGCTTTCAATATAAAATTGCACAGGTTCAAATCAGCGTCTACGGGTGCAAGCCGAAATATAATTCTTCCTTCCAACAAGCTGAAAACAGGAGTTCACTTTTAAACAACAGCCCTGTGAGTCAAGTAAAGTGAGAAGGTGTCCCATCCAGGAATGTCCAGCAAGCTTTACAGGAAACTTTGAGGGTTTGGGGGCAGCTTGGTTTTTATTTGGGGGGGGGATTTTTTGTTTGTTTGTTTATTTATTTGGAACACATCTCACAGAACAACTGTAGCATAGGCAACTGATAGAAAGCTTCAGGAGATTGTACTCTGAAATAACAACTTTTCCTAGGTCTGGATTCTTGATATACAGCTACAGCTGCCCTACAGCTACTCCTCAGTGGCAGATCCTCAAAATCCCCAGGGAAGGATCCTCAAAATGCCTATGATTTTGAGCCCTTTAGGGAGAGACACGAGGCCCCAGAAAGCAACATCTTGATAAACTTAAATAATGATATAGTTAAGCTTGGCATTGTGCCATGTTGCCTTGCCATGTAGTTGAGCCTCACGATCCCACTGTTTTCTGTATCCTCTGAGAACTCAAGAATAGAGGGCACAATGGCAGACTTGTCCATAGAGTGAGAGTGCAAAGGTTTACCCTAGAATGATTCAAGTTTACTAATGCATCACTGTTTAGCCCAAAAGGTCCTCAGAGTAATAAACAGCCTATTAAAATGCAACCAAAGTAAGATACAAGGGCAATTATTAAAAAACAGGAGATCTCTCTCATAAGGTTTTAAATGCCACCATCACACTCTGAATGAGTGTGCCAATCATCTAAACAGCCCATCCTCTACTACAGTTATATCACACACGCACAAGCATACACAGACAACAATGGGCTGCAACCTGGTTCTTGATCTTCTGAACCCAAATACTGTACAGTGAATCTTCCAAAGACATAGATGAACCAATAAGGATTCACTAATACATAGAAGACCAATGCAGGGGCCGGCCCTACTATTAGGCAAATGAGCAAGCCACCTTCAGTACCCGATTCTGAGTGTCATAAATGGGTAACACATTGTTATCCAACTTACTTGGTTCTTATTGCCATTTCATTAGAGGTTGGTAAAGTAACCTCTTTGGATAACAGCGGAGCTATATTCAAAAAAAGTAACTTTTCCAAACTCTATTCACCAGTATGGATAACAAGAGGTGCTTGGGGATATTTCTGTACTTTGGGTCAAAATAACTTGCCAAGATTTGGGTGCTATGCACCTTTGACTGCTCAGGAGAAAGAAGTATTTGCTGTGTAGTTCCTGGCAGCAAAATGTCTTAGGCTGACCAAAGGAGGGATCCATCTGGGCAGCTAGAAATCTTAGTATCATTGTTTCAATCCTACAAAACTGAACGGTGCAGACAAAGCATGATCGCCACTGGGGGGGTCTCCAAGTGTTCATGTTGTCCTCCCAAAGCCACACACTCCAGCATCAGGGAGGTCACCCCTCCTACCCAACCCTCGCATTAAAGCAAACATTTCCAATGTGTGTTACAGGTGAAAGAGTGTGGCTAAGCTGTTGAGCAGATTGGGGAGGAAACACCAGGCAGGCCACCCAGTGTGTGTCCTGCTGCCTAATCGTTTCCACAGTCCGCCAGCCAGCCGGCCACAGCACTTAATTTTCTCTCCAGAAGCTGGAGGTGGGAGGTGCAGGTCGGAATCCAGAGTGCACATGGCAGGGCAAGGGTGCTGCTAAATAATACTGTTGGTTTCCAGTTGCTTCATAAATCTTCCCTCTGCATCTGCCATGGAGGTTTCCAGGGCCGAGTTAGGTTCAGCTACTGAATTTTATGTAATATATGGGTTCTCAAAGCAAGAATGACCGAAGCTTCCCAAAGATCTTGGTTGGGACAGGACTCAGCCGCCCCGAGTAGACATGGTCTAGAGGGGCGGGGTAAAAATCAAATAAATAAATAAATAAATAAATAATTGATTGCACAACTGGGTTCAATTGTGAATTGTTGGGGAGCATGGCATGGAATAGTTCCTTTTTTTAAACTCCTGCTCCCATCATTCCCCCAACCCACATGAATGTTTTTTTATGCCGTCTTCAGGTAGAGATGGGTAAAAGTCCTGTCAATCCCTGGAAAGCAGCCACCTGCAGTAGACCAAGGTGAAAGTTGAATATGAGCAACTGCAGACTTTTGAAAGCATTAGTTTTTTGTTTGTTTTGTTTGTTTGTGGGTTTTGTTTTTTGTTTGTTTTTGTTTTTTTGTTTTTTGACTGCAACTCTCACCCTAGCTGAGAGACGTTTGACGGGGGTCGTTACTCCCAACGGTAATTTTTCCTGCTTCTGTTAAGGAGTCCATAGAGCTGGCTAAAAGCAACAGAATGGTTTGCCCAGGACACAGAACTGCAAGCTGAGCCCTCCCGGCCAGGATGTCATGTGGTCTCAATCAGCATAGCTTTGACTGATGTGTGTGGGACGAGCCAGAGAAGAAGAGGATGCTGGCTGCAAATCAGTGAAACCAAACTGCCTACGCTGAAATCCGCTGGCGCCACTTTTAAGTGCATCACGAGGAAATTCAAATGCAGCTTGGTGCTCACTGTGGGAGATCTATAGTGTCCCCGATGGAGGGAGTAACATGTTTGACTTTCCCATTCTCAGTGGGGTCTGTGGGTCATTGCAGGTGAAACCAACGCCACTCCATCATCGAATGAGACTCTGTTTCTTTGCCTGCAACTTCCTAAATCAACAGGCAGACAAGTCTTTCATCCCCCCCCTTTACAAATTTCCTCTTCTGCCCCCTCCCACACACACTTTTAAGATCTCATCTGACAAAAAGAGTATCTCTTCAAGGGCGATCCATTTTCTCCTGCCTTGGCACACCTTTTTCAGTCCATTCGGTTGGCCCGTAAAACCCATCAGTCACTTCAATACTGTGTTTGAAATAAAGACCAAATATTCTAACCCAAAGAGAGGGAAGGGAGGGCTCTTCAGATGCACTACAGCTCCCATCATCCCTAGCCAACACAGCCAGTTGTGGGAGATTATAGGAGTTGTAGTCAACATCACTGTCCTGCTCCATTCCTTACAGCAGAACCTTGGGCCTCCAGACTGCAACTCCCAGAAGCCTTCACCACCACCTCTGCAGGCCAGGATTTCTAGGAGTTGAAGTCCAAGAACATCTGGAGGCCCAAGGTTGGGGGCCACTGCCTTACAGGACTGGTGCTCCTTCAAGCAGAGGAAGTAGTTCATCGGCCATTTTTTATTTTTTCGTGAGTGGCTTTTAGCAGTGCAATTTTATTCTTGTAAATTCAAAAACAGCTCCCACTGTGTTTAATGGGGATGGTTGCTACTGACCCCCATTAAACTGAATGGGGTCTACTTTTGAACAGACCTGCCTAGAATTGTTCTTTGTACAGAATGCATTTGACATGCCTATCAGGGTTGCCCTACGATCGGCTATCATGGGAAAATCTTTACCCACTGTAAAAGTGCTGTTTTCAGTATTATCTATTGTTACTGCTTTGTTCTTCCTTGAAGGTACATTCAGTTTTAAACAGGCTTCCTCTGCTTTCCCTGATGTTTAATATTTAGGAGGGACTTGTCCCAAATTAAATGGTGTTCAGTTTGCTGTCATATTTATAAACGCTGAGAGTTCATCTTTTTACCTTCACAAGAACCCTGCGAGGTAGGCTCATCGGTGCCAGAGTGACCAACTTGGGGCCACCTTACTGAACTTCACGGGTCAAGCAAGGACTGCAGCTGTAGCCTGGCAGGGCTAACAATGCAATGCAATATTTACTCAGAAGAAAATGTCACCGAGTCTATATCGGCTTGCTCCCTAGTAAATATACCAAGGAGTGCAGTCTTACGTCCGGAGCTCTAACCGCAACGTCTCACCACTTTTTACACGCGATGTACGTTTTGCGGGCTGTCGTTTTCCTTCCTACCCAAAGTCAGGTAAATCATCTTATATTAAAAGTGGGTGTAATCCCGTTTCCCGTCGATTCTGTAGCATCAAACGCAGGAACCCGGAAGACATCATATGCAGGCGGGGAAACGGGGCGAAAACTTCAAGCACAGTTACTTGGGAACAAACCGCAGGGAGGAACTTACTTCGGAGTAAATGTGGCGCCCAAAGCGGGCTGTAATCCACAGAACTTGCCCGCATGAAAGGACCCCCCTGTTGAAGCTCATGGGACTCACCTCCGAGCAGCCCCGAACAGCGAGCGCTCTTCCGCAACCCAAAGGGGCACCGGCGGGGACTCCAGTGCCCATGCTGCCTGGCCAAGGCGCTGTCTGCATGATGGGAGGTGTATTCCTTGACAACTGGGGGCCGGGGGGTGAAAGGACATTGCGCTCGTTCCTTGTTCCCCCCAGACTGCGTCCTCCCCGTTAAGATCGCGTCTTCCGCAGAGGATCGCACCCAACGCAAGAGAGATGCGCGCCTGGGCGAGTGAGGCGCCGCGGGGAACGCCGACCCGGCCGGGCTTCTCAAGAGGAGGAGGAGGAGGAGGAGACCGGCCAAAGGCGTGCCCGGCCGGGCCGAGGCACCAATCCCAGCGAGAGGCCCCCGCCGCCCCTCGGCCAGCCTTTATAAGTGACCTTCCAGGCGGCTCCGCGGGCAGCGAAGCGAAAGCGCGCAAACCTTTCCGCGGCTCCGCCAAGCGCACGGGGCGCCCCCTTTCGGGCGAAGGCGTGCAATGCAGGCAGCGGAGGAATCGCGCTCGGAAGCGCCTCCCCAGCAGCGGCAGACCTTGCCCGGGGGCGCGGGTGGGGAGGCTCCCCTTGCGGCGGCTGCGCCCTGCGCTCGATCCAAGCAGTTGACGTCCTTCCTGATCCAAGACATCCTGCGCCCCGGAGGCGCGGGCGAGGAGAGGGCGGACGGCCCCTGCGTATCCGCGTCGGAGCCGGAGGCGCCCGGGAGCGCGGAGGAAGCGCGCTGTGCCCAAGGCGAGGCGTCGCCTCCTTTCGAGAAGACCCCCGAGGGGCTGCTTCTTCCCGGCGGAGCGGCCCGAGCCCCCGAGGCGAAGGCAGCAGGTAGGCGGAGGAGGGAGCGACGGGGGTCTTCCAAGCCGTCAAGGGTCGCGTGGCCTATCGGTTACAGCATCTAGCCGGGCTGGGGGCCAGACCGGGTTCAATTCCCCTCGCAGGCTTGCCATTCCCCGGCCCACCTTGGGCCAGCCCCTGATTCTCAACCCTCGTTCATCCTGGAGTCGTGTGAGCGGCGACAAAACTCAACCCGGGACAATAAAGTCGGTTTTGCGTTCGGGACTCTTTAAAGCGGCTCCGGTCTAGAATACTAGGCGAGTCCCCTTTGAAACGGAGAGAACAGGATCCCGTTTTTAAATGGCCTGTCATGCCAAAGCTCCCTGCAAGAAGAAAGCTAGCATCGAATTAGAGCGAGGTTCTCCGGTTCCGTTGTGAAATGCTGCTCAAACATTCTTCCGCCACCCGCGCACACGCACACCCTCCCAGGCTGTTTTACTTGAAATGTTTGAGGGTTTAAGAACCTAAGCACACACAGAAGCTGATTCTTTCAATGCCGGTTAGCTCTGATCCTGCAGTAGATCCCTTTATGTCCAGTGGTGATCTGTTGCTGAATACCAACGCTTACCGCTTTTCTAGGTACAGGTCCCGATAGCCATGGTGTCTGGGATTCCATCAGACCATACAAACATGCGGTGTGGGGTTCTTCTTGTCTTTCTCATGGATAGATAAGCTCCTCTCAGACATTTATGCTATATAATGATGATGATAATCATATGCAGCCCACTCAATTCTGACTTATGGCGACCCTTTTCAGGGTTTTTCAGGTAGAGAATACTCAGAAGTGGTTTCCCAATCCTTTCTTCTGTGGGGTTGCCCTGGGACTGTGTAGCTGGCCCAAGGCCACCCAGGCTGGCTCTTCTCCCAGTGGGGAATCCAACATTTTCCTTTCGTTTTTCCCCTTCCTGCTAATTGGTATCCAAAGGTATACTGCCTCTGAACCCAAGAATGGGTTCAAGAAAAGCCAAGGAATGTGCAGCTTCTGGCACTCCAGATGGTGCTGGACTCCAGTTCCCATCATCCCTCACCATTGGTTTTGCTGCTTGGGGTTGATGGAATTTGCAGTTCAACAACATCCGGAGGAACCTATGTCCTTTGTCCTGTATTAAACTAACCTGCCTAACAAATTTATACAAACCCTTCATTACTTTGCTTAGTCCCCGTTTTAGAGCCATCTGAGCTAGCCTCCACCACAACCGGCAGATGTGGGGTGATCTAAAAATGTACTTTGTGTTGTTTGCGGTAAATTGATTGAGTTGACTGTCAATCCATTGCATTTATTTACTTGCAATCAGAGTTTAGAAAGGTTGCTTTGTTCAGATTATACCTCCCAGAAGTCTGGCACTCATAGCCCCCCCCAAAAAGTAACTATCCCAAATTCTATAACAGAATCTGACCCCATACAACAAAGAAGCATAAGGCAAACTGTCTCACAGGTGATCAGAACATCTGGAGTCTGATCACCAGCTTAATGTGATAATATAGGGGGAAGCAACCTCTGACTTTATGTTGTTGAGCTTCCTCTCCCCTGAACCTCCACCGTTGGGCAAGCTGGCTGGTGCCGTTGGAGTAGCAAAGCAAAAAGATCCAGTGAACCACAAGTGGCCAACCATAGTTGTAGTTCAGCTTGATTTCCCCCATCCTCACATCCAGAATGATCGAAAAAAGCTCAAGGGTGAGTAATACAGGGAATAGATTGACTTCATGCTATCCGGAGCTCTCCAGAGACAGGGCATGTTAGAAATATCCAAACAAATGAAGTCACCCCTACACCATCTTGGAAAAGTTACTTTTGAGGGTGCTGCACCCTAGGCTCCTCCACCCAACGGGTTGGCTAGGGGAGTTTGGGAGTTGTAGTTTCATATTATGTGTGTTGAGTTTTCCAGTCCAAGACATCTTGACAGAGACAAATTTGAAAAGGGATCAGACAAATTATCTTAGAGCCAGTGTAGTGCACTGGATAGAGTGACTGATTAGGACTCAGGAAACCTGAGTTCAAATTCCTGTTCAGTCATAGAAACTCATGAAGGTTAAGGATAAAAACTCTTTCGCAAATATCTCATTTGCCTTAAAATGTCTTACTGGGGTCACTATACATTGGGTGTGACTTGATGGCATACAACAACTTGGGGCAATTAACAGTTCATCATCACTTTAGATTTTTCATCATCTTATAACTGCAGAGCGGGAAGGGTCCCTAGAGACCATTAAGTCCAACCCCCATCAAGAGGGCCTAGTGAAGAATCAAACTCCCAACCTCTCATCCAGAGAACTAAACAACGGAGCTATCCAGCAATGATGCTCCAGATGTTCAGTATATCCCTTGGTACTAATTCTTAGGGGATGTAAATGGGAGGATACTGATCTGTCCTGTGGATGGTTTTCCCCTAGGCCTCTAGTTGTAACTAGCAGCTTTAGTGCCTGGGGTTCGAGTGCTCTGTTGGTTAAGCTTAAGTCGTGTAAGATGTGTAGCTTCAAGGAGAGATTGGATGAATGGGGAGTAATACCTTGATCTGAACACAGGAATGACTGCATTGATTCCGAATGGAGCCTGCCCATTTTGGGGTTTATTCGTGCCCAGGGGAGAGCAGCTTCCAAGTGGTATCCATGCCTGAGGCGGGCACATTTGCACCCCTCTTGTTACAAATGTCAACAGGCGAGTCGGCCCCATCCAGCAGCAAATTTTTCCACCCTCTAACATTTTGGCATCCTGGGTCAAAGCCCCAGTAGCAGCAGCCTAGCCATAGCTCTGCTATTTCGCCTTGCTGCAAACAGAAGGCTGGTTTCAATAGGTCTTTGGTCGCTTGTCCCAGCTCCTGCCAACCTAGCCGTTCGAAAGCATGTAAAAATGCAAGTAGATAACTAGGTACCACATCAGTGGGAAGGTAAACGGTGTTCCGTGTCTAGTTGCACTGGCCACGTGACCACGGAAACGGTTTTCGGACAAACGCTGGCTCTACGGCTTGGAAACGGAGATGAGCACCGCACCCTAGAGTCAGACACAAATGTCAAGGGGAACCTTTCCCTTTTTGCTCCAGGATAGGTTCTTCCTACCTTTCTTTGTTGCTGTGATGATCATTCCCTCATTTCTCCCCTAGGTCCACCAGCAGAGTCTTGTCTGCTGAACCACGAGGATCCTCCCAAAACCCTACTGAGACCCCCGAAGCAGTCAAAGCGCTCACGGGCGGCCTTCTCCCACACGCAGGTCATTGAGCTGGAAAGGAAGTTCAGCCACCAGAAGTACCTGTCTGCTCCAGAGCGAGCCCACCTGGCCAAGACTCTCAAACTCACTGAAACCCAGGTGAAAATCTGGTTCCAGAACAGAAGGTATAAGACGAAGAGGAAACAGTTAGCCTCAGAACTTGGTGGCTTTGAGAAGACCTCTCTCGGTCCCGTCTTCAGAGACAATGATTTTGCCAAGGCGACATTAGCCCTGTCTGTTTACCACACCTATCAGTACAATCCATATGTTTACTACCTAAACAGCTGGAATCCTTTCTTCTGGTAACGGTTCTTGAGCAATCTTGTGTAGTCTAAAAACCGCTATCACTTACCAGCACTGGCAATCCTACATGGCATGAAATTCCAGACAGACTTTGCCTGAGATATTTGGGTGTTCTTCTCTTCCTCCTTCATGCTGGGCCTCTTGGGTCTTATCTGGTACTCTAAAGTCTCCAACGATGGGTTGTACTGTATGCACCACGAGGCTGTTCAGATGCCTTCACATATAACAATGTGCAGCGGTTAACGGTGTTTTTAAAAAATATGGGCATTGTTCCTCAAAGCTGTGCAGTAACGCCATGGCATACTTGTTTTGTAGCAGTGGTGGAATAATAAATTTGGAAATGTAGGCACTCATCATGCCCATCACAATAGCCAGCCCCTACCCCACTCCCATTATGGAAAGTGAAGAACATGCAGGATTGAGTCATAGCAGCAAATACAGAACAGGTCTTTTGGAATGTTAATGGCTCTTAATTGCCTGGTCAAGACCAAACCATGCTCAAATACAGCAGAGACAGCCTGTCGCAGTATATTGTTACTTGGGAAATCCTTTTCTCCTTCAGATTGCAGCTAAGCACAAAGGGAACAGGGACCTGAGGGGATGGTGGATGGAATTACAATCCCTGCAGTTCAGTAAATCTTGAGGTTTTGACCCTGTGAACCCAGGCCCAACTACACCATCAGTTTGTAGTGAAAGATCTGTAGTGAAAGAGATTTGAAATAATGGGAGCCCAAAGTCCCCCATCTGGTGCAAAACTGCTGCCGGTCCAAACAACCAATACTAGGCTAATCCTGCCCAAATAATCTAACATTGTGCAGGGAATTCTAGGAACCATCATTCAAAAGAAGTAACTCACTCCACAGGGAGAAAAAAAATCATAAGTCAACAAGGAAGCACATCCTTCGTATGTAGGGTACAGGGTTTAACCCTCAACATGAAGGGTGTGACAACACAATAATCTTTAACAGACCTCAGAAAACTTCCTTTCTTGGGCACTAGTTTCAGAAATCCCCACGTCAGCATAGTGAAGGGCTAGAATTCCAACGGCTGAGGGGATTTTGGGACCTGGAGTCTCAAAAGTAACATTTCCTTGCTTTGGAAAGTGTTGGCAGCTCTCCTCTCACCAAGTCCTGGGGCTAGATTTTGCACACATTACTTGTGCCTTCTTTGCATCTAATGCTCAGAGTTTTAAAACTGCAAATAAAGGCAGGTGTCGGGAGAATCGGTGGAGGTGCGCAACGGGAATTCCCCCCCCCCGTCCTCCCCTGCCTGTGGTCCTAAAGGAAATCTCCTCTCTCCAAAGTTGATAATCCAGTCAATGCACTTTCAGAGACAAAATGCACTCAGAAAAAAAAACATCCATCTCAAGCCATGACAATCTGGAGACAGTAACCCAGCATACAAGAAGCAGACCCTGCTTATGAGTGGCAGACACTCAAAGGGGTAGAACTGAGGTGTTGAACCGTGTGGTATTCTGTGCCACAAAGACGTTCATTCAAACATCACAGACCAATTGGAGATTTTTGGGTTGTTGTTTTTTTAAATGCTTTTCTTTCTAAGTTTATAAGTCCTTTGGTTTTAAGGGATTAATCAACTGGCTTTTCAATTTCACGAGTATAGTGTCTAAATCTTAACGGAAGTGTCTTTCTGAGCTGCTGAAAGAGGTGAGAGACGAGGCAATCCTCAAAAACAATAATCCGGTGCCGTCAAGTCAATTCTGATTTATGACGACCCTTTTCAGAGTTTTCCAGGTAAAGAAAATTTACCTGCAAATTACTCATTACCTGTGGATGCAACTTTCTTCTGGGACTATGCAGCTTACCCAGGGCCAAAGAGGCTGGCTTTACAGTTGAATAAATCACACTGCGGAAGTCTTTAACTTAAAAAAAAGGCTCATTTTCTTTTCTTTTTATAACAATGCAATGATTCAACACATCTGGAGGGCAAGAGGCTGGGAAAAGATGCTGTTTAATAGGTTTGAGATGTTGAAACAGCAACAGGCTTCTCAAATCTATTTCATTTTTATTTTACTTTTTTTACCTAGAAGTCAAAGGCATGTGCAAAAAGCACACACTTGAATTTAAAGAACAGGGTCGCTTTGAACAGATTTTGTGCTCATGGTCGCTTTGGCAGAGATTTTTTTTAAGTTCCTTTTTTTGGGGGGCTGTGTTTCCCAGAACCATCAACACCCCCCACCAGCCTGCTAACCAACCGTGTTGGATGAGAAACATGGGGGGGGTTTGATATTTTTAAAAGCATTTTTTTCCAATCTCTGCTTTCATATGGCCGTGTTGGATGAGAAACATGGGGGGGGGGTTGATATTTTTAAAAGCAATTTTTCCAATCTCTGCTTTCATACAAAATTGTGTAACTGAGGTGAGAAAAGCCATTTTGTGGCGGCAGCTGCTATGAGAGCTGCCCCAAGACATTTTGAGGCCTGAGGTAAAGGAAAAGAGGGTATTCCACCTAGTTTCCTGTGGTGTTGTATTTGGGCTGGGACTTGAAATATCCTGCTTCTAGTCCCCATTGAGGTATGACATTCTCTGGCCGACGTTGAGGCAATCTGCCTCTCTCAGCCTGACTTACCTTGTGGGGGTGATTATGAGGAGAAACCGAAGAGGAGAGTTATGTACGCAGCCACCAGTCATTGGCGGGAATGCGGGTTATCAATATAACTAACAAATAAAGAACAATAAATGAATGACCAAAAGGATATTGGACTGGCTGTCACCATTATTAAAAACATTACATTTTAATATTACGTATATCGATATATTTGTATTATAATATGTAAATCATTGCATTTCTTGAACAGCTTTTTTTAAAAATCAGTCCTCTTACATTTAAAATGTTAAAGACCCACATAAGCGTTAGCAATGGGATATGACGGAATAGGTCAGTGGTATAGGTATCTGGCCAAGGAGTCAAAGGTTGGGAGTAGAGAGGGGCACAACTCACTGGGTCAGCAGTTCATGCTGGTTCATTTAGCACCTGAGCAGGTGTTTGGAGCTTCAAAGCGTCGCCTCCTCCAGTGGGTGCCCACTTGGAGGCAGCAGCCTACCCCACCTCCAGGTGCTCTGCCTCTGAGCAGGTGCCCTCCAGAAAAGGAGGGGCTTTGAAGCACCGAATACCAGCCAATAAATGAACTGTTCATGCCCATCTCTGGTTGGGAGTTTGATTCTGCCCTGTGCCTCCTTGACACAGTGGATTTAATGATCCATAGGGTCCCTTACAACTCTGCAGTTCGATGATGATGATGATGATGATGATGATGATGATGATGATGATGATGATGATGATGATGATGCATCAAAGGCAGCCAGCTATCTTAGCATCACACAAGGAACACTTGTGTGGCAAACAGTTCCATTCTAGATGACCTCTCCTAGCATCTGTTCCTAGTGATGACCAACACACTCTGCCCAATAGTAGGGTTGCCTCCACCAGCGGTAAAGTTGGGAGCCAGAAACCATGGGCGAATCTACTCCTCGTTACCTGCAGATGCAAGCGAGGGATCTTAATCTACTGCCTCCCCCTGCTCAACTGGGTTAGACACCCTTTCCTACCAGTCTGACGATTCTTCCAATAGAACAAGAAGACAATCTCAAAACTGCAGGCGGAGTATCTTGGCTTGCAAGTTGTATTAAGTGTCTCACAAGTACTTTTGTGAGACACTTAAAACAACTGTTTGGTAACAGAGAAAAGGTAACACTATTATACGCAGCAACAAATTCACTCCTTAACTGCTTATTTATGAATATTTACAAACCACTTAAATCTGAAGATTTCAAAGTGAGATTCAACAATGATAAGCATACAGCATCAAAACAATGCATCAAATGAAGCTACATTATTCCCATTGTCCACAAAATAAACAGTGTGGCCCCCTGGGCTGCATGCTCTAGTCTTAAGCAATCTGGACTTCATTCTAGATGGGCAGGGTAGAAATTGAATAGATATCAATCAATCAATCAATAGCTGCCTTCACTTTGAATGTGGGTGGAGATTGCTGTCTTTTTGCCTACTCTGAATACAAAGTCAGCTGCCAAACAACTTTTGGACATCTCTGGTGGGGAGGGGGCTTCTTGCTCGCCTCAGGCAGCCAAATGTCTGTGGCACACTGCACATGTCTTTCAGGCATGCACCTCCAGTGTAAACTGGGAATTTGACCAAACAAATACATCATAGCCAAAAACCAGGGTTACATTTTTGAACAGTCATAACTAGATTTGTAACAACACTTTATGTATTGAATGTTATGCATCTTCCTTTAATGAGAATAGATGTACATCTGGAAGCCCAATGATAACCAGCTGTACCTACACCTGCCTTCCTTATCCTCCAGCTGGGCTAGACTATATGGAAACCCAGCAGACAGGATAATGGGATGTTGGGATTTATATATAACAAAGGACCCGAGTTGGCTTAAAATATAATATTTGAAGCTAAAAACAATGAATATACAAAGGTGGCTTACATTATTAAAAGACAATACTTAAAGCTTGCACTCCTTTATTCTGAATTACCTGCCTTGGAGAGAATCATCATCTTTGTGTCCTGCTTATGAGAACCTCACAAAGGCTTTGGCTGATCCCACCGTGAGGCAGAGAGAGACAGTTGACTCAGGAAGCAGATTTTGTTAATTAGTTAAGTTATTGTTACACAAACATAGAGGCACACACACACACACACATATATATAAGCAACACACACACACACACACACATACTGTATAAGCGCACATACTTTATATTGTATACATATTCACATGTGTGTATGACACACACACACAGACACACAGGCAGGTCATTGACAAGAATGAAGAAATTGACTAATATACACATAGAAAAGCTCACATATGTATGTAAACAGAAGCCACTGGCAATGGTGCGGCTGAAAAATATTGTAAATAAATATTGTAAAATATTGTAAATAAACATACATATATTTTATAAACACACACACACACACGGAGAGAGGGGGGGGCTTTTAGGTGCCAGGGGTCCTTTTTCAATTTTCAGTCTCCTGTGCTAAAACAATCTGGTTCGTGGTGGGTGCTACACGGTCCTTGACCCATCAGGTGACTGGGGATTGCCATATGCTGCTGTGTTTTAGAAGCTAAAAGGTCTTGGGCCAAGCCAGACCCCCCCAAAAAATCTGTCTGGCTAGCACTGGAAACCGAATACTGGACCTCATAAGCTTTTGATTTCATCTAGCAGGGAAGGTCTTCTGACCTGTTATTCTCCTTTTGCAAAACTGTTCATGTTAACTTCATGCTGCAGAACATAGAAAAGATTTGTTCCAGGGTACAGCTTCCAGAATCTCTCCAATCAGTTCCTCCTGGTTACAGAAAATCTGGAGAGCAGTCTACAAAAGTAACTTTTCTCAGCTTCATAGCATGGAAAGACACCCAGGGATGCTCTCAAACAGTAATATTGAACAACGGCAGCAACATTTTTGAACCGCACCAATGCCTGGAGCACAGCCAACCCTAAAAGCAGAGAAGAAGCTTTGTGTGAACAAGTACTCCATAAAAGAATACTTGCTTGTTTTCTAGCAATCCAGAATGTAGCATATCCTATCTTGCAAAATGTTTCTTCCCAGTTCTTTTATCTTGCTCTGTAGAGGCTGCATATTCTGGGAGAACGGGCCTCCACTCTTCACCAGCATTAAGAGAGGAAGGTCATCACCAAACAACGAAAACAATGTTTCAAAGCCAAGCCTGCTCCTTATCCACTTTCTAAAATGTGATCCTGCCAAATGTTTCTTTCCAGTCTCTTTGTCTTTCACCAAACAAGAAGCCCCTTTAAGCATCAAAAGCAGCGTAGAGGGCTTTTTTCAACATGGTTGTCTTTCAGGGCTGTCCCTACCATAAGGCAGAGTGAGGCAGACACTGCGGGTGGCAAATGCTGGGGAGGGCAAGAAGTAGCATCAAAATCATAGAATAAATGAATTGAAAGGGGCCTAGAATGCCATTGAGGCCAACGTCCTGACCAAGACAGGAATCCAGATCAAAGCAGATCTGACAGAGGGTTGTCCAATGTTCTCTTGAATGCCTCCACCGTTGGAGTGCTCACCACCTCCCGAGGAGCACTGCGGGTGGCAAATGCTGGGGAGGGCAAGAAGTAGCATCAAAATCATAGAATAAATGAATTGAAAGGGGCCTAGAATGCCACTGAGGCCAACGTCCTGATCAAGACAGGAATCCAGATCAAAGCAGATCTGACAGAGGGTTGTCCAATGTTCTCTTGAATGCCTCCACCATTGGAGTGCTCACCACCTCCCGAGGACAAGGGTCCCATTGTCATACTGCTCTAAGAGCTGAGAATTTTTTTTCTGATATTCAACTGAAAACTGACTTCCTATAACTTGAGCCCATTATTACATGTCCTGCACTCTGGGATGATCAAAAACTGATCCTGCCCGTCCTCTGGATGACCACCTTTCAAGTATTTGAAAAGTGCTATCCTATATCCCCTCAGTCTTCTTTTCTCAAGGCGAAACATGCCCAGTTCTCTCAGTCTTTCCTCATAGGGGCTTCCAGTCCCCTGATCATCCTTGTTGCCCTCCTCTGAACTTGCTCCAGTTTGTTGGTATCATTCTTAAAGAGTGGCATTCAGAACTGGCCACAGTACTCTGTTGTTGTTTAGTTGTTAAGCCGTGTCCGACTCTTCATGACCACATGGACCAGAGCACGCCAGGCCCTCCTGTCTTCCACGGCCTCCCAGAGTTGGGTCACATTCCTGTTGCTTGCTTCAGTGACACTGTTCAACCATCTTGTCCTCGGTCGTCCCCTTCTCCTCTCACCTTCACACTTTCCCAACATCAGGGTCTTTTCCAGGGAGTCTCCTCTTCTCATGAGATAGCCAAAGTATTGGAGCCTCATCTTCAGGATCTGTCCTTCCAGTGAGCAGTATTCTAGATGAGACCTAACCAGTGTCGAATAGAGGGGGATTAATAACTCAGGAAATACTGAAGGACAAGTTTTTGACTTTTAGTGACTGCCCTGTGTCCTCCACTTGAAACGCCTTTTTAAGGGCTGCCATTTTTCACATTATGCTTCCCCTGATTTCCAGGTATGTAGACAAGTGGAAGAGGAGAAAACATGATTTATTTATTTTTAGCATGAGAGGGCTTTAAAGTCTGAGCATCCATCTCCACCCATTCCCAG